ACTCCGCTTAAATGAAAATCAAATTCCTCCCTCAACACTCTTAAGAGCCTATATTATATCTTGCTGCATCTCACGGTTTGTTTTTTTAAATACATAGAAATTATTGTTTTAAGTACCACTCGCTTAAGTATCCGCACTCGCCTATGTGCCATATTATATTCTTATTTTTAACAAACCACAAAAATCTGTATCTTAGATTGTTCCACATAACTGGGATTGACTGTATTTGTCAAGGAAAAAATTGCAAAAATCTGGATAGATATGTATGCAAGCTTACACACAAACATACATATTAACGCTGGTTTGTATGCGAAGCTGTACAGGGGCAAGGGCAGCGGTGACAATCGGCGACCGTTCGTTTATTTTTTTCCACACAGCTCGGATTTTCTACCAACAATACAATGTTGTGCGTATTGTCGCCACATTGACTCTTTGACAAAAAATTAGCTTCGCCATTGGCTGTCCGTGTGAACTTAGATTTCTCATGAAGCAATAAGTGTACACATTTACATACAAAGTTGTGGGTAGACAAATTTACAAACATTATGCGTATGGTCTGTCATATTTGTTTACAGAACACATAATTATATGTATGTATATGAGCACATGTGCGACCACTGGATCTTTTAAGATGATATCAAAACTTTTAGGGTAAATGTATAAATTTAAAATTAATTACCTTAACTTATGTATATCAATTATTTGGGTAATAATATTTTACTCTATTATATATTTTTAATGATTTTATGGAATCATCATGAAATACATATGTAGATAAATTTTAATATACACATATACATACTTATATACATATATACTAAGTATATGATTTGATACCAAATATATACGGATCATATGTATATAAATTATGTGCTGAGTCGGTTGCGCTTTGAAAATAAATGAATGAATGAAATGAATAAATGACGTAAATTTGTTTAAATTGGAATTAGCATTATTTTTCTCATTTAACACTGAAAATGCTCAATTCTGCTATTTTCGTGGTGAAACACGCTTATAATTTGTCTGTGGTAAGACTGGCTCATCTCTGCCGAGTACCCCTTCGAAAAGTTACGATATTTGAAACGTGAACCTTCTCTATGATAAACGTTCTCTGTCTATATTATACGTTCTCTGCTAAAAACGCCCCATGGCATTGTTAGTTTTAAAGTCGTACATGAGTTGTGGGAACGAGATTAAAACTGCAATACCAAGATGTGCCCAAAGTTGACTAGACAACACGTATTTCCAAACTCATTTGAAAAAATGCGAGTAAAATTTGCAACGCAAGTGTTTAGTTGAAGCTGCTAAAACTTTGCGATACATCGGGTTTCAAGCAAAGTCCACAACTGGTAGCTTTATCAACGGCTGAATTTATTTCAAAAATTGATAAAATTTTTGACTGCATGAATAGTGGATCATTATACTCAGATAATTGTTATCGGTCTGCTATTCAACTCAACAAAGAACCATATAAATTTATTCAATTATTCTTATGCTGGGGGTTAAATTTGTCGACGAAAAAAAGAAAGAGTATATTTTTTAGATGGAATGAAATTATCATTAAAATCTGCTCTTCTAATCGTCGAAGAAGTATTAAAAGATAATTCAGAGAAATTTTTCATTATGGCAAAATCTTTAAACCAAGGCAAATTAGAAAATATATCTGCTGTATTAAGACAAAAAGGCGGTAATAATACCAACCCCTCTGTAGCTGAGCTGAATAATATTTTAGCCAGGTTATCGGTTTTCAAAATTATAGAAAAATAGTTCATTTAGCAACTGTGAAGAGACGCAGTATTCAATGGATCAGGTAATTACCAGCATTTCTAACAATGAACCGGAGTTGCTTGTAAATGAGGAAGAAGATAACAGCCTGCTATATGATTTCGATTTTAACCAACAATTGCATGCGAATTACTTTTTGGAAGACTCTTTTTGTAACCAGTCAGCTAATAGTTAAGAGCTGGTATCAATTAGATATTTTGTTGGATATCTGCCATACAAAATCATTCCAAGGTTAAAATGTGAAAATGGTTGCGAGGGATTAAGGAAAAAAGGTGAAGTTTTAACTGCTCCTAGTGAACTATTCATTTTTCACAAAAACTATCAATCACTTACAGATTCGGTAATCTCGTTGCTCCATCGGAAGCCCTTATGAGTGCTAGTGTAAAACATGTCATAATTTTTCAACAAATTTTTAAATTAGAGCCTGAGAAATTAGGCATAAAGGCTTTCATGTTAGAATCATGCAAAAGTTCTACTCCCGAATCTTTCAATGGTTAGTGCTGTAACCATAGACTAGAAAGTTAAGATATTATGTTACTAATACTTTTATGAAAACACTGCATTTGGGCTGTTGTGTTTTATTTTTTATTTAAAATTGAAACAATTAATTAATTTATATAAAATTTATAATAAACTATATGTTTGTTTTCGTTTTTGTCGCAATGACTAAAAAATTTTGATTATAACTATTAATACATATTTAAGTATAAATTTAATTTTACAGAAGGCATATATATAATATAACATACATACATATGTACGTTTATTTATATTCCCTCATATCATTCATTTTTTGTTTGAAAACTCTACATTCAGTATTTAAGTGATTTAAAAATATGAAGTAGCAAGAAAATTTGAATTTTTTGCTAAGCAACGAAGAACCAAATCATGCACACATACAAGGGCAACATATCACATACATATATTGTCGTTTGTTTTTCTATCTACAAAATCAATGCTGTGCTCGACTTCGCGGAATCGCTCTATGCTTTTTTCATTTTCATTTTTATTTTTATTTTATTTGACTGCCAAAATTGTGAGAAACGAAGCAAGAAAACGAGGAGTCATTCGGCTACAGTTTTGGCTTCTGTGCATTGAATATTCTGTAAAGTTAACAGCGAAATGAGCAAATTTTCTGTGAACTTAACAGCAAACTAGCGGGTTGTACCAGTATGACCCGCCATACAACGTGTACGTTGTATGAGATGCGCATTCTATATTACTTCATATTCTCTGGTATAACGCAGTTAGCAAATAATCATTCAAATATTTATTTGATCCTCTTTTCTTTATTTAACCAATACAACATTAAAAAGAAAATAATTAAAACAAATCTTCTTCTTCTTAATTGGAGTAGACACCGCTTACGCGATTATAGCCGAGTTAACAACAGCGCGCCAGTCTTTTCTTCTTTWCGCTACGTGGCGCCAATTGGATATTCTAAGCGTAGCCAGGTCCTTCTCCACCTGGTTCTTCCAACGGAGTGGAGGTCTTCCTCTTCCTCTGCTTCCAGGGGCGGGTACTGCGTCGAATACTTTCAGAGCTGGAGTGTTTTCGTCCATCCGGACGACATGACCTAGTCAGCGTAGCCGGTGTCTTTTAATTCGCTGAACTATGTCAATGTCATCGTATATCTCGTACAGCTCATCGTTCCATCGAATGAGTGCTCTTTTCACCCAAAACATTCCTCCTATTTAATGGTGTAGGCGCTATAATCATGTTTGGTGTTAGACAGCAGGAGGATGGAGTCATGTGTAGAAGTTCACGCAAGTGAGGAAAGTTCTCTGATCGCCATTCACTTGGGAGTGGCCAGTAATGATTCTTTTACATATGATTCAAGCAGCTCACGTCTTCCGGTCTTTGACCAAGTATCCTCTGGATAGCCTAAGAACATCAGTTTCAAGGCGAGCAAAAGTGAGAAGGTGAAATATCCCCTACATAGGGTTGTGCTCTGGTTTAGGACCCGCCATTTAAAAAAACCCCCCCAATAAAAAATTTTCAATTAAACCCAATACAATTATTAAAAAAATGAGTGAATCACACATGAAATACAAAGAAAATTTCTGTTTTATTAATTTAAATCATCATTCACCATCATCGGAGTCTTGTGCTTGGTGGCATGACGCGCCTTCGTCCTCCATTGAATCGCAATCTGTAAATATAAACCGTAAATTATGAAATGAAAGTAATTTGTTAATTGATCCGAAAATAGTTAATGAGAAATTGAGAACTATGAACTTACCAGGGGTTTGGGTTGGAAGCTGGTCTCCTTCGAACCATTTGAACACAAATTTCTCGTCTTCCTCAACCCAACCATACTCTAATGGGTTCAATGTCATAGGTTGCTTTTTGTAATCATTTTTTCAAACTGTTGAAATATAATGTGCTCTTAAAAGTTGCTGGTAAAGTTCACAGTTACACGGTGGTATTGAGCTTGCATCAAAATTCCGTATTTTTTTACTGAAGTTTTCATTGATGTCGGAAGCTTTATAATTGTTGACGAAAAGTTGATACCTTCCATCATCAACAGCAATTGATTTTTTTCATTAGAGAGCTGGCAAGTAGACTTCTGAATGCTGTTAAATACCTGTTGTAACAGGTCCTCTGTCAAATTTTCTTCACCAATCGTCTCAAATGCTTGTTGGAATTCAACATTATTTTTTCAGTAACGTAAAAGGTTTTTTCTTCCTTTTCATAAAGAAAGCTGGATTAAAATCACATCCTGTAAATGAATGGAAGCCGATTAAGCTTTTGGCTAAAAATTCATCAAGCTCCTTATAATTTTTCGTGACCTCAATATATCTTTCGTTATTTCCAGTTCCATTGAGCATCCAAATATTGGAATGAGAATTTTGTAAATGTTTTATATTATCAATCATTATGATTAAAATATCGGTATCAGAGGATCTAATAACAATATTTGACTGATCAGTGATATCGTAAGCATGATAGATTATGTCGGTATCGGCTTCTTCATATGCGTTGCAACAGAAGCTTTCAACAATACTTGATTGGATCTTGTAATTTTAAACTTGATACGATTGACAAGTTCGAAAATTCAAAAATATCTGTCGGTTACCCAAAAATGATTTCATTTCCTCACTAGATCAAGGTTTTGCAAAAAAAAATCTATCAGAGCTTCCTTAAATTTAGTATTTTTCAATTCTTTTGCAAAATCAGACGGCCGTACCTGTTCATGACCTGAAATTGTGTCATCAATCAATGATGCTTCATGCTGTAGACATCTTTCACTATCTTTTATTGATGGAAAAAAATCTTGGTCAAAGATGACATCGAATCTTCGGGTAGGATACTTTGATACCATTTGCAGAAACTTTTTTGTAATACTCCCGAATGTTTTGGGAACTTCTTTCATTGAGTGTAGGATTAAAAATCCATCAATTAAAATTACATCTACATTACAGGGTGGTTCTTGATCTATATTAGGTTCAAGGCATCTTAAAAGTACAGATTTGTCAGTTTTCAGAAACCACCATCTAGAGATAGTTGTAAATAATAATTAAAGCAAGAGGTACAGGAGATATTGGATATGCTAAAATTTTGAGAACATCAATTTGATGGTATACTGAAATTCCTAACAATCGTCCGAACAAATCTCGCTGTAACTTCTCTCTTGTTGCTTACCTGCAATTCTTACAGATTTTTTTTTTTTTTTTTGAGAAGTTAGCTTGGAAAGATGTGTATTGGTGTCTTTTTGATGGATTTTCCAAATCTTTTCGGACAGATGTACATTCCGATATGAAAGTTGTTCGTAGCTCTTCACCATTTTTTTCGATATTTAAGAGAAACTCTTCCACTTGAGATGACGCAGCTTTGCCGGAACCAATGTTCAATAGTTGATCAGGTGATAAATCAACGCTGAAGGTATTCACTTATTGATCGAACGAGCTGATACATTTTTCAAGTTGTTGACAACTTCTTTTAATATTATGTGGTTGTAATTCGGCTGTAATATCTTGCTTTTTAGTAATTCCTAACTCTTCTAATATGGGTGTAATTATACTTGAGCGCCCACCCTTGACGAGCTGAAATCAGGTGAGTGAGATGTATAATACCAGTAAGCGTTCTCGCAGCATCGGCATTAATGGTCTGCTCTAACGTAAGATCAATAGGCTGTCTTGAAAATAGTTTATTGGTACGCTTTACTCCAAAAAAACTCTTTTCGGAAGTCTTGCTCTAAACCAGGATGAGTAGTGGGAACTTTAATCAAATTGTAGTGATATTGAACTGTCCACTTTGCATAATTTTGATGGTTCAATACAAAAAATAAATTAGTTATTTTTGGTAAAGTGTCCAGATACAATTGAAAGTCACCAATGCAAATGATCCTACTCAGTTGTAAATAATAATGAACGTGTTTTACATAAAACGTATAAAATTGAGCTGTCTTACCATTTTCACCATTTAATGTTTGCTGCTCGTAAGTAGCGTAATCATTACAAAGTACAGATGTGTCACAATTCTGTAATCGTTCCATCTCTTCTATAATGTCTTTAAACATTTCAATGTTTTTATATGTGAGAAAAGATCTAAAATGCATTATTTGTAGTGCTAAAGACATTATTGGGTGTAATCTTTTACAAGGATTTCAAATTTGACAACAGGCAACTTCTCACAATCAGGGAGCAGTTTACCTATATCGCCAGAGAATGTATTTGGACTCTTTAAGACACCATCTATGTGCTCGAAAAGAGCACGCAACGGAAGTTCGTTGAAATGTAGAAGACAAACAGCTCACTGTAATGGCCTACCTATTCTTTCTTCTAGTTTCCGAATGATTCCACCTTTCCAACCTGTGTTCGTGTTGGTGCCATCAGCACCGACAACTTCTAGATATTCCACATCAACTGAATTGTCTTGTAAATGTTGAAATATAGCTTGCGTCTCATCCTCAGCTGACCCGGAAGGAGAGGTGACGTGGCCAAAGTAATGACAACCAGATTCCGCTGTAAGAGAAATATATTCCTCTTTGACAGTGTCGCGGTAGTACTTTTCACCTTCGCTGACTTGTGTAAGTATATTGTTTTTGCGGCCGTCAAAATACAGCCCATATACAGAGTCAATACTTTCGGTGCTTTGAAGCTTAACTCCAACACTTTTTTTGCCGGACTAAATTTGCAAATGTGTTTTACTGTGAACAGACGTATTTTTTCTCTGCTCCGCGTTTTATTATTTATTCTATATTAATGCCGTGTGTTTGCGGTCATAGGGTTGAGCGCGCTCAGCCCAAGATCAGCTGCCATAAGTGTAATCAATTCTTCCACTTGACGTGTACGAATTTATCACAGACTGATGTGGATTTTTTGCTGAAATCCAAAAATGCCTTTTACTGTAAAGTGTGCGCGGTAGCTCGGAGAAATTCTATCTGTTCGCCGCCTGCGTCGCCATCAGTGCGTAATGCTCATTGCTCTCACATCTTAAATTCGCAACAACAAAACGCTGAACAATCAAATAACGAATTATCTGGACCTTTGTTGGAGCCTAACAATCCAAATAAGGTAAATGAGTTGCAATTCCCTGGTGTTTGAAGTAATTGGATTGAGAAGTGAACAATCGAAGGCGCTCACTTTAATACAACAATTATGTGATGATAGAAATTCGTTAATCGTTATGCTTAACGGCAAGTTCTCTGCACCAGCTTCGAATGCTCKCTCTACTGCTTCCGCCACTCTCACTGCTGCGACTGCTGTTGATATAAATGCTTCTCCGTCTAACACTGCTGTTTCTGCTGATAATGTGAGTGTGAAGTATCATGCTCCCGCTACACTGAAAGCATTCTCTGCAGCTTCAACTACCGCTCCGTCTGCTGATTGCTCCACTTTTTCTATTGCTGCTGATAATAGTACAATCACAGCTCCGTCCAACGTTGCTGTCGGCGTGGATTACTGTGCTTCTGCGGCTCGACCTGCTGCTGCTCCCAATGCTGTTAATACATACATTATACTAATACATTTGCTGACGCTGTTGCTAGGAATATCAACACTCACTCGAAAGGCAGAAACAATGCAACAGTTGCTGCTAAACCAGATCGCCCCTCTGTCGCTGTCAATGCTGCTCAGTCAGCTGCCGTTGATGACTCGGTTAAACTGAACTCTTTTACTTCAATTACTGCTAATGGAAATTTAAAATTAAATGTGAATCTCCAGCTGCTTCAATTGTGGTTGGTGTTAATGCCAATTGTGATCTCGATGTCGTCATACCTAAGAAATGGATTCACTTATCTGCCTTTAAGAACCCAGTCACTGAAGAAGATATTATATCCTTTGTTGGTAAACATGCTAATGTTGGGGAAGAGCCTCTTTTATGTTATAAATTAATTAAAAAGGATACTGGTATTAATAATCTTAAGAGTATAAACTTTAAGTTAGGCGTGTCCCCATCTTTTTTTAATGCCGTTTTCTCTTCTTCAGTGTGGGCTTCTGGCATTAAATTGCGTCCCTTCAAGTTTTTTCCAAAGGGAAGGGAAAACAGTGCTGTAGATTAGATGATGCGCCTTTTAATGACCATTTTACTCGTGAGTTTTCTGCACATTCCTCAACTAGCTCTTGTCTTAAGGTGTACTACCAAAATTTATCGGGTATTAGGTGTAAATCAAATATTATTCGCAACTTTGCTTCACATTTGGAATATCGAAGTCCAATCGTTATTGCTGAGACTTGGCTGAATTCTAGTTACTTTGATAGTGAATATTTTGACTCAAATCTCTATTATGTCTTCCGTAAGGACAGAGATCATGAAAAAACTRGCTGTTTAAGAGGGGGTGGTGTTCTCCTAGCAGTTCATCGCAAATATCGTCCTCGTTTAATTATGCTTGATAATGATGATTCTATTCTGGAACAACTATGTATTTGTATCAATGACGCTCTGTTCATTGTAGTCTCTTACATCCCTCCTAATAGTCCCCTAGAGTTGTATACGTCGCACGCTAATAACATTTCCTCGCTAGTATTAAATATGGTGAAAGAGAATAATATTTGTGTTTTGGGTGACTTTAATTTAAGCCAAACCGTCTGGTCTGGTTTTGCTATAGTCCTGCTCTTATTCCCTCCAATTTATCGTCTTCTCAATCTGATTCAAATCAACTCTTATTCAAGTAGTCTGGATCAATTTCTAGACTTAGTGTTTCTTAGTGATAATTTAAAATTTAGGTTTCTCGATGGATTCTCTACAATTACTCCAGCCACCATTCATCATTCTCCGCTTGCATTTCAGTTGGATACTTATCTTTTCGCTCCTGTTAAACCTACTGATGGGCCTGGTTTTAATTTTGCATATTGTGATTTCGAACGACTCAATAATCTCCTCGATGAGATTAAATGGGATGATCTACTTTCGGGACTAGATACAGCTAATAGTTTCGCGATATTTAAGAAATCCATTCAGGATTTTTGTCATTATAATATCCCGCTCAAACATATACAACTATATAAGTTGCCTTGGTACACTAAGAACCTCAAACGTTTAAAAAATATTAGAAACAAATACTGTTTGGTCAGAAGCATGTCACTGTGCAAAATCGGATGACCGTGACCAGAAGCGGTGTTAGGGTAGGGCGCGGTTGGGCGACCGCCCAGGGCGCCTGTCAAAAGGGGCGCCGCAGACGCCCCCCAGCTCATGCTCATAGTTCGAAGTCTGCTTAGTCGTAAATTCCCTAAACTAAGCGGATTTTTTTATGTTAGCAACACTTGAATGG